ATCATTGCATAGTATTCCACTGTGTGTATGTACCACAATTTGTTTATCCATTCATCTGTTGATGGCCGTTTAGGTTGTTTCCATCTTTTTGCTACTGTGAATACTGCTGCAATGAACATGGGTGTGCGTATGTCTATTCGTGCGATGGCTCTTATTTCTCTAGGGTATATTCCTAGGAGTAGGACTGCTGGATCATATGATATTTCTATTTCTAGTTTTTAAGGAAGTGCCATATCGTTTTCCAAAGTGGTCGTACCATTTTACATTCCCACTAGCAGTGCATAAGAATTCCAATCTCGGCAGCATGCTGAGATGGGGGAAAGGAGTGGCTCCAATGGTCAGGTGGGGATTTCTGCTCTGGGTGGTCTTCAGTGATAGCTGGTTGGTGTGTGGCGCTGACTGGTCCCCAAGGCTGCTGAGCGGCAGCCTGGCGAGCCTGGTAAGGGGAAGCTCTTTAAGCTCCTAGGAATTTCAGATATTGAAAACATTCCCTGTGCCCGGGATTTGGTATTATATGGTTCATTAGAATCTCCTGTGGCTGGCCTTGGACATTTTTTATTAAGTAGTAGAATTAGAAGATCATGTGATGTTGGAACAGGGGAGTTTATTTATAACTTTAGGATGCTGGTTCCATTGTAGGTATAATTATGTGAAGTTAAGAATCCAGGAAAGAATCGCCAGAGAAGGAATTGAGAATAAGATTTTATATGAAAGCACTCACCTTGATCATGAAAGAAAACAAACTGATGGCAACAGCAGTAATTGAGCAGTCTTGGGCAGAGAAAACCAAAATACAACTCATTGAAACCAGCATGCACAAAGCTGAGATCAACTACACAAAACATTTTATGAACAATAAGAAAGCTTTTCAATCAAGAAAATAAAGCAGGTGTAAGTTGTCTTTTTTTTGTTGCTGTGCTTTAAGTGAAAGTTTACAATTCAAGTTAGTCTCTCATACAAAAATTTATACATACATTGTTATGTGACCCTTGTTGCTCTCCCTATACTGTGACAGCACACTCCTCCTTTCCACCCCGGATTTCCCGTGTCCATTCAACCAGCTCCTAACCCTGCCTTCTCATCTTGCCTCTGGACAGGAGCTGCCCATTTAGAATCATGTATCTACTTGAGCTAAGAAGCACGCTCTTCATGTATCATTTTATGCCCCATAGTCCAGTCTAATCTTTGTCTGAAGAGTTGGCCTTGGGAATGGTTTTTATTTTGGGCTAACAGAGCTTGGGGGCCATGTCTTCTGGGGTCCCTCCAGTCTCAATCAAACTATTAAGTCTAATCTTTTTACTAGAATTTGAATTCTGCACCCCATCCTTCTACTGCTCTGTCAGGGACTCTCTGTTGCGTTCCCTGTCAGAGTGGTCACTGGTGGTAGCTGGGCACCATCTAGTTCTTCTGGTCTCAGGCTGATGAAGTCTCTGGTTTATGTGGCCCTTTCTTCCCTTGGTCTAATACTTTCCTTATGTCTTTGGTGTTCTTCATTCTCCTTTACTCCAAGTAGGTTGGGACCAATTGATGCATCTTAGATGGCCGCTCGCTAGCTTTTAAGACCCCAGACGCCATTCACCAAAGTGGGATGCAGAACATTTTCTTAATAAACTTTGTTATGCCAGTTGACCTAGATGTCCCCTGGAACCATGGTCCCCAGACCTCTGCCCCTGCTACTCTGTCCCTCAAAGTGTTTGGTTGTATTCAGGAAGTAAGTTGTCTTTTTATACACACACACAAGTATAAATACTTGCAAACTAACTCTTGCCCTGTGTCTACTGCCAGTCTAGCATTCTTCTGCGCTACATATAGTGGACTTTTCACACTTAAAATATGAACAGAATTGATTGACAGCGTGTTATAAGAATAAAACTATAAAACTTAATATTTGATTTGATGTGCTTGGATAAGAGTTTCTTTGTAATAAGTATGAGTTTAATAACAAGCATTTCAAGAAATAAAATCTCTCCCAGTTGAATTTTCAAAAAACAACAACGACAAAAAAAGTTCCAGTCTCCCCACAACCTCCCCAACATCGTTATTTTGTGTTTTTTGGATTAGTGCCAGTATTGTCGGGGTGAGATGGTATCTCAATGTAGTTTTGATTTGCATTTCTCTAATGGCTAACGATCGCGAGCATTTCCTCATGTGTCTGTTAGCTGCCTGAATGTCTTCTTTGGTTAAGTGTCTGTTCATATCCTTTGCCAATTTTTTAATTGGATCATTTGTCTTTTTGTTGTTGAGGTGTTGCAGTATCTTGTAGATTTTAGAGATTAGACCCTTATCGGATATGTCGTAGCCAAAATTTTTTTTCCCAGTCTGTAGGTTCTCTTTTTACTCTTTTGGTGAAGTCTTTTAATGAGCATAACTGTTTGATTTCTAGGGGTTCCCAGTTATCTAGTTTCTGGTGTTTGTGCATTGTTAGTTACAGTTTGTATACTATTTATGCCATGTATTAGGACCTGTAACATTGTCCCTATTTTATTCTCCATGATCTTTATCATTTTAGATTTTATATTTAGGTCTTTGATCCATTTTGAGTTAGTTTTTGTGTATGGTGTGAGGTATGAGTCCTGTTTCGTTTTTTTGAAGATGGATATCCAGTTATGCCAGCACCATTTGTTAAAGAGACCGTCTTTTGCCCATTTAACAGACTTTGGGCCTTTGTCAAATATCAGCTCATAGATGGATGGATTTACATTTGGATTCTCAATTCTGTTCCATTGGTCTACATGTCTGTTGTTGTACCAGTACCAGGCTGTTTTGACTATCGTGGCTGTATAATAGGTTCTAAAATCAGGCAGTGTGAGGCCTCCTACTTTGTTCTTCTTCTTAAGTAATGCTTTATCTGGGGCCTCTTCACTTTCCATATAAAGTTGGTGATTTGTTTCTCCATCTCGTTTAAAAATGCTCTTGGAATTTGGATCGGGATTGCATTGTATCTGTAGATTGCTTTGGGTAGAACTGACATTTTCACAAGGTTGAGTCTTCCTATCCATGAGCGTGGTATGTTTTTTCCACTTATGTAGGTCTCTTTTGGTTTCTTGCAGTAGTTTTTTGTAGTTTTTTTGGTATACGTCTTTTACATCTCTGGTTAGATTTATTCTTGGGGTTAGATTTCTCTTCATGGGTGCTACTGTAAATGGTATTGATTTGCTGATTTCCTTTTCAAAGTTCTCTTTGTTGGTGTAGAAGAATCCTACTGATTTTTGTATGTTAATCTTGTATCCTGCTACTTTGCTGAAATCTTCTATTAGTTCCAGTAGCTTTCTTGTAGATTCTTTAGGGTTTTCTGTGCATAAGATCACATAATCTGCAAATAGGGATAATTCTACCTCTTCCTTACCAGTTTGGATGCCCTTTCTTTCTTTTTCTTGCCTTACTGCTCTAGCTAGGACTTCCAGCACAATGTTGAATAAGAGTGGTGATAAAGGGCATCCTTGTCTCGTTCCTGTTCTCAAGGGGAATGTTTTCAGTCTTTGTTTAGAATGATGTTGGCTGTTTGCTTTGTATAAGTGCCCTTTATTATGTTGAGGAATTTCCCTTCTATTCCTATTTTGCTGACAGTTTTTATCAGGAATGGATGTTGGACTTTGTCAAATGCCTTTTCTGGATGAACTGATAAGATCATGTGGTTCTTTTGTTTTATTATCTGGTGGATTACGTTGATTGATTTTCTAATGTTGAACCATCCCTGCGTTC